GGCTCAATAACATCCTGGCGTAGTTGAAATCGCCGCTGCCCTTGGCCTGGATTGTGGCAATAATGGCATGCTTAACCACTTCCAAACGTGGAAATTGCCGCGCTGCTTCGCCCACGAGGATGGCAATGTCGTTGTTGGCAATGTCGTTAGAGATGTCTCTCTCTATCACCTCATCCATACTTTGCGAGATCTAATCTCGAGGCCGTGCGTGTCAGGGTAATCAGCGAAACGGAGGACTTGACGGGAATGCCACTGATTAAAGATACTGGTTCGTTTGCTGAATCCTCTTGAGGACATTCAGCCATATTTTTGAGCTGATCTAGGCCGTTGATGGTCAGCAAGAGCGGTCGGCACTTTAGGTTGAGACTTGGGGAGTAATACTAATCAACTTTGCGAGGACACGATTCCAGCAGGACGACTTACCGACTCAAGTAATGCGGGTTGCGTAGCTAATAATGAGTAGTAAAGGACATGAAGATGAAAGTTGAAGAGGTAGAGACAAAAGCGGTTGCTGGAGCTGGGCTTGGCCCAGAGTTTTGAGTCAGATCAGATTTGGGGAGCGCTAGAGAAAAGGGGGAGACCTTTTCGGTTTAGTGTTGCGAAAACCCACATGAGGGAAGATCAAAAGGGGGTCATTTGAAGTCTCGGCGCGGAAATACGTGCAGGCAGTCGTGGCAGCTTTGCGGTCCATGATCGTTTATGTAGGAGTTCAGGGCGTTTGAATCATTCCTATAATCGATCTGCCCCGCCGCGTATCGTCTGATGGGATAGAGGTTGATCCAAGGAATCTACGCATTGTCGCGTACGCGAACTTCGTAGTGTTCAAAAGACTGTCTTTGCGTGCACACACCGTGTTGGCGGATGGCTGGAATGAATACTGTTGGATACTTGAACTTCTCGCCTTTGGTACTGATACCGAAGGGTGCTGGTGTCATACTTCCAAAAAAAGTGGTTCGGCATGGATCTCCTTCACTTTGAGGTTCCTAAGCCCCGGAGCTAGCCGGTTGTAAGACGCACAGCAAGGCGCAGCTCGGCGCGCAGCAAGGCAGACACAATGGCAGACGCGCAAGCAAACTCGTAGCAAAGGTAGGCGCACAGCAAGGCGGACGATAGTCTGAAGGCTACACCGCTTCTTGAGGTCACTGTTACCATTTGCCTTTCATAATAAAGTCCCCCGTCAACCACTTCTTCATTTCTTGAAATTGAAGAGTCAACCTCCTTCCCCACCCCAAAGTTTCTGGGTGCTAACGACAAGCCAGGAAATAGAACCAGAACCCCCCGCACGGCTCCGATCGTCCCCGTCCCTACTTTCCTACCCGACGAGTATCTTGATGAGTTTGACATACCATCGAGTAACTGATACATCCAGAATGCATCTCTGTCTCGATGAAAGGTCATGAAGAGGAGGAGTAGAAAGAAGAGCGGAGAGGAGACCGTCGACGCTTTTGACATGACCTTGCGATCCTACTGCCCGGCTCCTCTGAGATCAATGCGAGGTAAATAGGGTCATCATTACTTTGGCTGCATCAGCCGAAGGCTCAGCACACGCCGTTACGTACGTCACTTCAGAAAAGTGACTCGTTGGAAAGATAACCGTCAAACGGTGCCTCGACAAGGCCCGAGCAATCTCTACAATATTCCTATCCTCGTTACCGCTCTATTGAGGTGGCCATTTTTACCCGACCAGAAATACATTCTTCTCGCGTCTCTATGGCGCATACGACCATGGTAAGAGAGGGTCAAAAACACCGCTTTAGACCCCCCCGGGATTATCGCGATAGCGAAGGTGAGTGAGGATGCGCTTAGAGATCGACGAGGCTATTGACGGGAGCCTCTTCAATGGTAAACAATTGCATAGGTCTACGATCGGTCCGTTCTTTGCTAACATCCTCCCCTCGACCTGGATCTGTTTGTTACCCGGCCTGGACGGCCACGGTGATAATACATTGTCGAAAAGTTATTATTGATACTATCAGCTGATCCCGCCGCCCCTAGACGCCCAACAAAGCTCTACAACCGACATCTCAACGACGTCAAAGGGGATCCTGCAGGTTTGGGGGTTGCAACTCGCGACTATAGAGTCCTATTCAATATCTATAACGAATCGACAAGGCCTCATCAACCAACTCCTCTCGCGCGCCCACCCGTCCTACAACAGGCCTTTCTAATGCTCTCCCACCTTTGCACTACACCGTCCGCCTCCGTCTCATTTATCGTTACCACGGATCACAATTACTTGGGCGGTATTTACACTCCTCCTGACGGACCCGTGCCAGCTCGGTATCTGCTCGCGGGTCGCGGCCTAGCCGCTCGTGAATATCGAGGGGGCCCGGCACTCTTTTTGTCAGCCATCTCCAGTTCATCCAAAGTCGGACAGTTTTTCAATCACCATATCCCAGCGGTATTGGGGTATGAGATGAGTAACCGCAACTAACAGGGTCGATCCGTCATTATGGCTACTGTCCGGGGTGCTTCGACGTCAATTGTTGCATTCGTCACGGGCGTAATGATCTCTTGACCGGGGGGTCGCTGTCGGTGCTTTAACCCTCCCTGAATCGGGGGCAACGGTTTCGAGTTGCGTCCGGACTGGGCGATAACGACTTCGACGGCAACTTCTGTAACCGCACACGCCTGAGATTCCAGACGTTCGGCAAGGCTCAGGTACTGGATACAGCGCTGGTCGGAGGGGTTCTCGCAAGTAACCGACACGGTGGCTATTGTTTGACGAAATTTCCTCGCTTCACCATCTCAATTAGTCGTCACACTCACGTCTGGTTATAGAAATCTGGCGCGAAAGGCCGTGACGGGACCTGCTCGAGTCACTGAGTTCTTTGGCGGCTTTTCCAAAGATCTGCCGCTTCCACAAATCGTGTCGTTTCTCAAATATCACCTCGAACAAGATCAACACCGAGACGTGCGTGGAGCTCAAAGGGGTGCACCGGATCTTCTGACAATTATAGAGGTCTTCTCGAACGATCGGCCGGGAGTGGATATCTACTTTCATAGCGGTAGGTCTTCTCTTTGGTCCACAGATCCGTAGAGGCACGAGAACACCGACTGACTCAAAGACTGATGCAGAGAATGGAACCAAACATGTCGACCCTGACTACTCCGTGCTCTCCTCAGACCACCCTTCCGTCTCATCAGTCCCGATTCACCGATCAAACCTCTTTTGCGTCTACTGGTTCCACGTGGTTCTCTATCCTCCGCCACGTCCCTCGCCACTTTACTGGTGGATCTATGCGACTTGACCGCTGAGTGGCTGCAAGTGCGGCCGGTATGCTCCCCAATGAGATTGAAGGCGTTCCTGAACATTCATCAGTCCTGAATCGAGCTTTCGGCGAGTGATTCGGCTGATTGGGCGCACCACATCCATTGCCGTGTTATCGGGCCCAGACGGCGTCTCGAGCCGAGCGGTCACCAGAGCTCAACAGGGGCTTAACTGATAGCGTACCGCTATAGAAACCACCTTTAGCTGCGATATTCCGTTCACCCAGATTCCCAAACTCATTTAGCAATAGATTTAACGGTTCAGTCGATGTAGCAACAGTTTCTCAACCGAGATCGGCGCACTTGAGAAGGCTCATCCGGTAGCCTCTATTGCCCAAAATGGTTACTTGATCCAGCATCGGGAGGACAATCCTTTGTGATTGTTTGCCCATTTCGTCGTTATCGTTGATGACTTGACGTCGACGACGATGTCTTGACTGATATTGTGGCGTTGCAGCTGGCGGGACTTTGGCTTCGAGAGTGCACGTCCTAGTCATAGGGCGTGAATTCGAGTATTTGTGCAATCCGGGAATATATTTTGTGAGTGGTTCTGATTACGTCGCTAGTCCATATAAACTGAGGTATGCCTCCATCTGGAGAAAATACCCGTTATAAAGTGACCACAAAGCATTCTTTATTTCCTTTACTGACGTGAGGCGAACATAGTGAGACACCGCGACTTGGATCTAAAAAAGCGCTTCCCGGCAGCCTCGTCCGATGGCCGTATGAGTAAGGCTGGGTCAGCTACGGGATAAGTCTGACCACATTTTTCCACGGTCCGGCCTTGGTTCTACTGCAGGGTGATGTCTCCCCCATATTGAATCTGGCTGACGGGCAATCGACGATTTGGACTTCACTAATAACCTCCGAACTTACCTGCCGAGATACAAGGAGCGATGTCATCTAAAGGTGTCACAAATATCAAGGCAAAGACCGGGCGTGTCACCAAACCGGTTCCAACGAGCTCCTAGGTTCGAATTTTCGTCCACATTCATCACGGGGCAAGAAGATGGCTCGTAAGTAACTGGACCGGCACGGCCTCGCTGATTCCAGACGAAGCCAGGCAGTAGAAAATCTGGATGCTTGTGACGGTTCTGGACAACTTTGCTGATCTTGGACACCCCGATGCTCCTCGGATGGGACGAAAGGGGATGGCGAACATTATTTTGATGTTGTGGTGATGGGAGCAGATCGATGTGGCCTGGCAGTCGCACGAAGAAACTACGTGCTTCTCGAAAGGCAACTCTCGGGGGGAAACTCAACGGTGCGAGTCAGTGAGACAACATACCATCCCGAGAATATAACAATCTTCTCTTCAAGCGCACATGGAAGGCTAATAACCCATTGTTACTTCCTAGCAAAATCGTGGCAGAAGGGTTTGAGAACTCTCTTCTTCAACACATCCTGAAAGTAAAAGGTGAAAAAAAAA